AGATCACATTTCGTTCACTTCGAGGTCAGCAAGAAGTTCAAAATACGACACGTGTAGTGGCATCAATACCGACCAACGGAATCCTACACATTGACCAGGCACCACTCGGACCAACTGTCTTGTTTGGCAGAGGAAAGTAGAACATATCAATAAGCATGTCGTCAGAAAACCTATTTCCCAGGCCGCCATACGACGCCCAACTAGTCCCGGCCCTGGACCGCATGACGGCTTATCCGCGGTCAAGGGATGGCATAGTCCACGGGCGACAGCTACGAGCGACCGCAATGGCACCTATGCAAGCAGCGATTCGAAACGATGAAGAATTACTGGTCGAGGACCGCAAAATTGCCGGGCCCGACGGAGAGATCCCCATCGTCATCTTACAGTCTCGGAACCCGAAGACGGCAAGCGGCGAACGTCCTGGCATCGTATTCTACCACGGCGGCGGCATGGTTCTCGGCGACGCCTTTCTTGGTATCCAGCCGTTCGCGCGCATGGCAAAGGACTTTGACGCCGTCGTCGTCAGCATAGAGTACCGCCTGGCACCAGAGCACCCGGCGCCCGCGCCGCAGGATGACTGCTACGCGGGTCTCCTCTGGACAAGCGAGCACGCGCAGGAGCTGGGCATCGACTCCGCGCGCCTCATGATCGCAGGCGTCTCGGCGGGCGGCGGTCTCGCGGCTGGAGCGGCACTGAGGGCGAGGGACACGAGCGGGCCGAAGCTCTGCGCGCAGCTGCTCGTATATCCTATGCTCGACGACAGGGACACAGGCATATCCAAGAACCAATTCAGGGACGACAAATGCTTTGACGCGCTGGACAACAACGCTGCATGGGGCTGCGTCTTGGGTGAGAAGGCAGGCGTGGAGGACGCGGACGTGAGTCCTTATGTCGCGCCGGGCAGGGCGACGGACCTCTCCGGACTGCCGCCGGCGTACATCGACGTCGGGACTGCGGAGCCGTTCAGGGATGAGAACGTGGCGTATGCTACGAAACTATGGGATAGCGGTGTGCAGGCGGATCTGCATGTCTGGAGTGGTGGATTCCACGGGTTCGACTTGCTGGGTCTCGCTGTAGGTTCAGATGTCGCCAAGGCTGCTCTCGAGACGAGAATAGGATGGATCAGGAGACTATTTGGCGCGCAGTAGATGTTTGATACCAGCCCACGATCAGGTGGGATAACCATTAAGGGATAATTGCATGAGGTCAGTATGCTCGTTGTTCACCCATCGGTTGCCAAGCCTCTTGACTGCGTGTCGTCCCAAACTTAAGCCGCCTCCTTTCTGCAAACAGGTCATTTCAGGGGAAACTCCTTATTCTATCCGGGCCACCGGTTGACTTCAAGGAGGCAGAGAAAGAATACCATCTGTGAATGCTTGCTTCGCTAGTGAAACGGACAACAAGAGCCCGCTATCCAGAACGCTGAAAGAGCTTGCAGAAACGCAGCCAGAACTTCACAATGAACTCGACTCAGCCACCTATCTGATTGCCACTGAAACAGTCTGACCTTATTTCGGATACGCAAAATGTGCTGCAAGCGGTCAGATATCTCACTTCATTACCCCTTCATCGTCTAGCGGCTCGCCAAGCTGCTGCACGTCAACGTCAGATGAACAGATTAAGAGAAACGACGTCTGCAGTGTCCCAAATAAAACAAAACATACGAGCGCGCAGCCGCCGCCGGTCCACGTCAAACTCACCTTAGTCACAGGCGGCGCGCGGCTGGCTGGCGAACAGATCCTCTCGGGAGCCCCCCCCCCTCAACTCTGCCAGTGCGGTGGATAAACCTGACTCTGTCGTCTAAGCGCCAAACAAACTCAGCTAGGTCTAAGTGTCTAAGTGTCACTGTCGACAGGTCTCCAGGCCACCACACGCCAAACCCGGATGACGGAACCGAATTGACAAGAGCAGATATTCGAACAGTCAGGCAGAAAAATCTCCACACGGAGGGAACGGGAAAGGAGAAAACATGAGGCCGGAAAAGAGGCAGGAGAAACTCGACGTCCGACAAATTGGCTTGCATCTGGGAAGATGCCGGCGAGCCCGTCAAGAGGTGTGTGCCTCCGTTTCAGGGATCTGACATGGTAGACCATGATTGCGCGGCTGCCGTCAGTGCGGGGACGAGGTCAACAACGGGGAGAGAAAAAGATGGGAGGAAATTCTCAGAAACGCGATGTGGAATCTGCAAGGGGAAGAGAAACGATGGCCACTCCACTGTACTGAGGAAAGGGGAGGAAGTGTAAGCCTTGACTAGGAAGACACTTCGAGACGCGTTCCGCGCCTTGGCCATCCGGGGCCACGGGCTCCCGTCATTAGTCCAGACGGCACAGCCCGTCGTGCGATCAGCGTCGATCACGGTGATCGATCCGTGTTCCTCGTTTGTGCCTGGCTTGGTAAGATGGATGTTTGAGACGTACATATTCCGTGGGCGCGCCCGAACCCCGTATCAACTTGGTGGAGAAACGAGTCAATATTCTACCCCGAAAGTCATGACCATGGTACCATTGAATCAATAAAAATTGTGAGAACTGGTTTGTTGCCCGCCCACGGCGCAAGTTCGTCTCGAACCACTCACGTCCTGCCCATGGACCAGTGCGTCCTGGGTTTGCTGTGAGATATTCCGACAATAGGACATGATCGGAGGCTTCAGGGCGACTCTAGGCGTCACATCAGATTCAAGGCCTGAGATTGAGTAAACATCAAATTAGCAAAGTCAGCCGGAGTGACTGAATCGACATGGTATGACGGCTCCTGCATACCTGCTTGGCACCAGAAAGCCAACGAGATTAACTCCAATGCCGTTGCTTACACAGCACATGCGATATCTACTATCCGGCATCGGTCCAAGCATGAAGCATTGGAGTTGGGGAGAGTAATTGGAACAATTCGATGCCATCCGTTCACGCCTGGCAGACATGATACATCTGAAAATCAGACGCCCTTTGGCAGTTTAACCTAAGCTCGTTCCCTTTCCTCATTCACGAGTGCGAGCTCCGGGTCGCGATATGGAGTAGAAGTCTCATACTGCATACAGAAAGAAACTTTTGTTCATATCCAAGTGGATGGGAAATGACCTTCGGAAGGTAGACGGGATTTAGAATGTTCCGCGTAAATGTGATTGGCTGGAAGGGGCCGGTCGAGAGGGCATCCGGCGGCCGACTAAGACGGGGAGTCGGCCTCGTCGCCGAGGACAAACCGGACCAAGACATAGAGGTCTCAAGAAGTGGGGACCCATTGTCTCGATATCTGAGGCGTCAAAGGTAAATTCAAAATGCTTTCATCCACTACCCTTCAAATGACTAGGTATTACTATCTGGCGGACTAGGCTTCTGGGCCGGGTTCCGAAGGGAGGGGACCGGAGCAAGTCAAAATCGCACGAACAGAATTTTGAGCGAACCACTTGATTCTGTGTCGTGAGTTAAACAGGTTTGTTATTTCGGGGCTACTTGTGAGCCGGTAGGAATGTTGCCGTTTCCCAAGAGAAACACGACATTTGTGTTCATGATGGCACCAGAGGAAGTTCATCGATGACCTGAGATTTAATTCGATGTTATCGGATCTACTAGTAAAGCAAGATATACCATTTCGGGAAGCTTGGGCATCTTGAACATCTTGAGTTATTTTTCCCATGGTTTTATCAGATCCCCTTATCAATCCCACCGGCTCGGCGACCTGGACAAAAATAGGTACACGTAATCTGGATTCCGAAGGGAGGGAGAATGCTTCGCCGGCAGTGAACTGAACTAGTCTCTGTGCTACCCCAACATCTAGATCAGTTCGATTCTTTGGGTGCCGTTAGCTCGGAAGAGTGCCGGTCTGATAATCAAGCCTTCGTTCCAGAGGTCTGGATCCGGACAGGGGAAGGCCACAAGCAGAGTAACTTTCTCGACAGTTGATGATTACTGATTACAAAATTCCTCGCCCAGCAATGCTTTCAATATCCAGCCAGCCAGCATTCGCAGTGGCGGGCGTGGTCACCGATGCAAACCACATTGCGCCTCCAAGTCTAGATCGACCGTTCCATTGGAGACGGCGTACCCTCAAGTTCACCACAAAGATGAGCGTAGTCACTCGCTCAGCAAGCTGCAGTAGCAAGAAAGGCTAGTCGTCCACGTAGCGTAGCTCGTAAGTCAGCTTTAGTTAGCCTACCGAGTGAAGAGTCAACAATGGCTCACGCTTCTTGGAAGCCGTCGTGCTTGTCTTCTCTTTATGATTGGCGAGGAATCCATCATCTACGCGAACATGGCCGCATCCGGCGATTCCCCCGCCACCGCCGCCTCCAGCTCTCGCCAAGCTAGATGCGGCTGGATGTTATGTAGGCTTTCATAAATCGTAAACTCTTTATCGTCATTGCTCCTGTCGGAGCACCACAGCATCTAGCAAGACTCAAGCCTCCCCGAGTCGGCGAACCCAGTCGGCCGGGGCGCGCCAGTAAGCTGCAACGAGCTCAAACTAAGTCTAGCTCTTCGAGTCTTCGCGACACTTTTTTCTCTTGAAAGTCGAAAGGAAGGAACCACAGAACTGTCCGGCCCTGCTTGTTCTCTTGATAGCCAGCCACGCGAGGAGGCTTGTCAATTCTCAAACCGCGCCATTGTAGCCCTCGAACTGTCAGATATCAGCCCACCGGCTTTGTTGAAGACACTTGGGGCCAGTTTCATAGCGGGCGGGCGCTGGAATACCTTCAAAGTCCGCGTCACAGTGTCCCCGTTCGGACTTTGTCTGGATTTGCCTTTTTGGTGTCGTTAGTGAGTTCGTTGGGAAGCCCATATCGATGTGGCATGTCCCATATCAGTCTTGCCGTGGAGTACATCAGGATTTTTACCCATCATCCGAGTCCTTGGCACGATCACTTCTGATTCAACTTTACGGCATCGAAATTGGTTTGGAAAGAACAATGCCATAGAACGTTGAAAGATCGTCACCAAGAATTCTCATCTGAGATCGTCGGCGCGATTACATTTTAGGCGACCAGGGCATAAGGAACGCAGTCATACATCACGATGGTTACCGGTAACGAGAGCTTCGGCGCCAGTCTCGAGCGTCAGAGTTGGATACACTACTCAATAGGGATGGCCTTCATCTTCCTTAGAATGTTCGTACAATAGGCACCTATCAACAATCGGAGAGGAACCATGCTAACATATCTCCGTGGTACCTTAGGTATGGAAGAGCAAAGAGGTTAGGAGGGGTCTCCAACTTTGAAGCCGATGACTATCTCCAGATTCTTGCAGCAGTATGTTCTATCGCCTACATGATCCTCACAGATATCAAATGAACAACCGAAGAACTGACCCCTTACTGCGTACCAGGTTCTCTTCACCGTCCTCGTAGCCCTCCTCAACATCATCACCGACGGAGGCGGCTCAAACCTTTACCCTCCAGAACTAGAAGGAACCTTCACTCAAGCCGAAATCGGAGACCGCATCCACGGCTCCAAAATTGTCCTTGTCTCTGAGCAGGCCATGCTGAACCTCATCTACGTGCTCAAAGCCTGCGTGCTCATCCTATACACTCGCCTCACCCTCAACCTCGCCGCCCAGCGCCTCGTCCGCTGGCTAGCAATGTATGTCGCCATTGGCTGGACCGCAACGCAGATTACAATGTTCGCCGCCTGCCGTCCCTTCAGCGGCTACTGGGCCATGCCGCCCCCCGATCCTCAGTGCACGACGTATGAGAACTACGCCATCCTCCAGGGCTGGTTCAACATCTCTTCCGATACGCTGATGCTATTGATCCCCCTTCCGCTTGTCTTCCGGATGAAGGTGCCCTGGAAGCAAAAAGTCGTCCTCTTGTTCGTCTTCAGCCTCGGCATCTGCGTCATCGTCGCGGCGCTACTGACAAAAATTTTCAACCTCTCCGACCCGTACAGCCCTACATACATGTTGTGGTACATCCGCGAGGCAAGTGTCGCCGTCTACGTGTCGAACTTGCCGCTCGTCTGGCCGCTGCTGAGGGAGTGGTTTCCCTGGCTGCGAAACCTCAAGACGGCGGGCGTGCTTCCGACGCCGTCTAACCAGGCAACGGGGCACCGAACGAAGCAGGATGCCAACATGTCATCGGGTGTCACTGTTCACAGTACGCACCGGGGGCCTGCGCCTGCGGGTGTGCCAAACTTAAGGAGGCATACCTTTGAGGAGTTTGGGACTTGGCTCAGTGCCAGCGACCTCGAGCTCCAGAAGCCGCCGCGCGTCTTGAGGTCGACGGCAAGTAGGCGCCATATCTTGGAGGAGCACGATTACGAGGAGCCAGAGAGCTCAGCTGTCGGAGAAGAGAAGAGCGCAAAGAGGGTGTCTATAGTGGCAGAGTATAGTGTTGGCGACGGGGAGAGCAGTATGGGTTCAAGTCCAGCGCCCCAGCTGTCACCTCTGGATACCGACCACGGACTGATTGATTGGGAATACCAGCGTCGGAGTCGCTTTTTGCGTAGGTCAGGCGCGACAGGCTCTACCGTAGGACATGGTCTGCTTGCCAGGGAGGATAGAGACCTGACTCAGGGCACGGCGAGTCGGCCAAGTGAGAACTCACCGTAGATGGTTTCTCTGCGGGATGGGCGATGGTTCGGGATTGGCTTACTGGCGTCTATGTTGGGCTCATCGGTTGGGAATACCCTGGGACTGCTTTCACGGCGTTACATTGTAAATATCGACATGCTAGGAGGGCCGGCATTCAGTACGGCCGAGCATGTGTGCTCAATGATACTGGTTATTCACGATGACATACCATAGCTAAGATTGTTGTGCAGTCGTTGGTGTCGCAGTTAGGGGATGATCAAGAGACGGAACTATGTCCGCCGATTCGCTGCGTTGTACCAGGGAGTCGTGAAGTTTGTAAGAAGTATTCGTATTCGCGTGCCTCAAAGGGCAATGGTATCTATGGCAGGCATGAAGTTCAAAACAACAGGGGTATCGAAGCAATTCCAAACAACGCGCAACATCTTTCCGTCTTCAGCTCGTAGTCATACTATTCGCATGCCTCGTCAAGTTCCCGGCCGGCGGGATGTTCCTTATGCAGTACTCCTGGTCCCATCCAGCTCGCGGTTTAGGCATTCGTCCAGGTCCACTCAGTCCAACCAGCTCCATGTGCCGGTGACTCTGCCTTCGTCCTTATTGGCCAATTTGTTGAATACCGCGGGGCTTAAATCGAGATCGGTCGGCGCGCAGCCGGTGCATCGATCCACAACGGTGACATCCACCGATCCCTCGCCATCACGGCGGACCCGGATCTTCTTGCCGCATAGCGGGTTATTGTTCGGATTTCCGCCGCTCTGCACGTCGTCCCACAAGAAGTGCGAAACCGAAACAATCATGTCGCTGTCGCTGCTCGTCTTTCCGCAGGCGCCGAGCCCAGGAGCGTAGTATGTGAGGTCACCGGTGTGAACATCTTGGTTGTTCGGAAGGGGCAGGTCCTGCTTTCCTCCGCCGCGCTTGGAGAGACCGAGGCCGAGGGCCAGAGGGAGGATGAGCAGGAAAAGGACCGCGAGCGGCAAGACGACGAAGAGAAGGAATCGCTTTCGAGAGAGGCCAAAGTAGGTCTTTTGTGGCGGGAGCAGAGCATCGAAGCGAGCTGCGAAGGAGGGATGGGCCTTGGGTGCTGCCGTTGCACCTGTAGCCGCGGCCGCGCCGGTGGCAGGAGCGGTCAGATGAACGTGATCATCTGAACGTTGGGTATCTTCTTTCACGAAGCCGCCTTCATTCGTTGCCGCGGGAGCAGCAGTGGCGCTATTGTCGCGTTGATGGCCAGTCGTCGCTGGAGCGAAGCGATCAAAGAACGAGCGACGCCTGTTGGCCGTGGGAGTCTCCCAGTCGGGGGTCTGGTAGGCTTGCGCCGGGCGCTGGATGCCTTGTTCCTCGTCGGTCATTGCGTGGATGAGCGATTGTCGCGAAATGTTTCAATGCCGCAGGAGTTGTTGTGTGTTGTTGTGTGTTATTGCTTGAGTCGTCAAAGCCGCTTCGAGGGCATTGTGCGTGATCAAAGACGTTGTGATTGCGGTGTTTTCGTAGTTGTTGCAGGAACGGGTGAAGCTGTCTCGTTTGCGCCAGAGAAGGATGTAAGCGATAGACAACAATGGCAGGCAAAAAACAAGAAAGAGAGAATGACGCTGGTGGGGGCAGTGAGTCTTTCGCCAGCCTGCCAGGTCATCGGCAAACCCTGATGACGAGGAAAGCCGGCGAACGGCAACTGGTTGGCGACAGTGACGATCTCCGTCCTTGCCGCCCGCCAGGATGGGAAACTTGATTTCGCGATGATTGTGGCTGGTGGGAACGAGGGGCACGTTGCAATGCAGGGGCCGTCAAGGTGCATCTTAACGCGCTTTAGGTCGAGGTGGCTGGAGATATCTAGCCGTATCAGGTATAGCTCCAGCTACGTACTGTTGTGGACCTGCAGAAGCGTGTCTGGTGGGGCAAACCCTCTTTCCATGATTGTGGAGGCCGCCACACACACTCTCTCACTACTGCTTCAACTCAAGCTCATTCATCCATCACTGGATTACTCATGAGACTGATTAGCAATAGCGAACAGCTCGATTTCACTATGCCAACAATTAGAGCCAATTTACGCTCATCCAGTTCTATGCGACACCCAAGCAAAACCTCAATGGCAGCTCTGGCGGCCAACTACCCTGGCTGCCTGCAGGAAGCGTCACAATCGTTTCCTTGTCCGCGATGAAGCAACTGAACAGTCCCCCTTCTTTAGTCTCGATGAACCTACAGTCTGAAGTTTCAGATGAAGCCAACATGTGATTCAATCATCACGGAAGGCTATCTCTCTCATGTGGTGCCGCTCTTGAGAAACATTCGCTGCCCCGCCCTGGTCACCCCAAGGAGTGTACGGATACCTGAGAAAGAAGGCGGTGATACACGCTGAATGATAATATCATACTCTCTTTGATCACTATGAATAGTGGCCGATACTTACATCTCATCTCGGTCTTATGCTTTCTCTTCGATCGACCCCCCTTGCAAGGTTGTCTCTCGGCCTCAAGGAGCTGTGTCTCGCATTCAACTCTCACATGAACCATCGCTAGGGGTATTATGGTGATCGAACAACGGTTCCCTCCTCCCATCAATATGCCCTTGAAGACCTCAAAGCTCGACTGTACGCAGAGAGATAATCGTTACACAATTCATCGAACGATGGGCTTCCTGATCATGATGTTGGATGCCTGGCGTCCATCTCACTCATACACTTCAAGACCTCTTATATCAAGTCATCTCAATTGCCCATGCAACGTCATTCAATCTGTACATTCCCTCTGATAATCCAAGAAACCTCCAATAATCCGTCAAGGTCGATTTTACAGCCCAGTTGCAATCATCTCTATAACGACACAGTTGTAAGCCATCATGTTTTTCAGTTGCCGCGCCAAACAGCCCACGCCTCCGCCGCCCCGGCCTCAGTGCGTTTATTCTGGCTGTGTTCATAAGGTATTGAGATGCGAGGCACCGACCAAAGTCAAGCGCATTCTCTCCATCTTTTGCAAAGATCGTTAGTTCTTGGCTCACTCCTGTCTGGTGGGAGAAACTCTCTGACTTTGTCCTCAATCCCAAGATGCTTGCCGCTCGCGCACCGGCGAGAAGATGTGCACAAACCCCAAACAGCCTGGCCTATCCAAGTACTGCGAGGATCGTACGTTGCCTTGCCTTGGTTTGAATATTTTCTCCTCCATCTGTAGTTGTTGCTGACCGTAGCCATCTGGGAAAAGACGGCCGCTGCCACTGCCAGGACTGTTCCAACCAGCGCATCTTCGCCGACGCAAACCAGGACTGGCCATATTGCCAAAGCCGTAAGTTTCCCGCAACTACTGCATCGTTCACATTCCATCATTCATTTTCTCTGATACTGAGCCAACTGTCTCTTGGGTATACAGACACCTGCTCAACCTACGGATGCCACAATAAGCGAGCCACCGACTCCCAAATGTGCAGCTTCCATACGCCCATCTGCCTTATCCCTGCCTGCGGTCATCCGCGCGTCGGCGACGGCCTCTACTGTCCTAGTCACAGCTGCACCGATAAGGACTGCAACAGCGTTATCGACGGAGGCAACTGGTGCAGAGATCACCGGCTCTGCAAGACTGCGGGGTGCAATTCACCGAGAGTTGTCTCGCCCAGGGGAACACATGAGGAAGTTTGCTGGTTCCGTGAGTCCTTCCTTCGGTCTTCTAAACCGACTGATCAAATCTGAGGACGGCAATACTGACCATGGCGGGACGCCCCAGATCTACCGATAGCCTGCAAGGCGACAGCCTGCGGAGCCGTCGTCAGCGGCGGCGTCCACTTCTGCCCCCAGCACGAGTGTACCTATCCGCCATGCCGCGAGCCCAAGGACAACGCGACCGATGCATCACGACTCTACTGTGCCAACCGTAAGATAGCTTGCTCGGGCCTGTCCTCTTCGCGCAAAGCTGGCTAACAAACCTCTCTCTCGCTCGGTTGAAACAGACACCTGCCACGCCCAAACCTGTCCCCAACCAGCAGCAGACCTCGCGAACCCCTCGAAGCCACCACACCAACCAAGCTTCTGCGTGGCGCACAAGTGCGCAGCAAGCCCAGAGTGCCCTCACCCCTCGAAACCCGCTAGCCGCCGCTGCGCGCTCCACGGCTGCCTGCACCCGTCCTGCCCGGCCCCGCGCGCCGACGATCCGCTCCTTGTCTCCGCGAGCCAGTTCTGTACAGGCCACGTGTGCCAGGTTGCCGGATGTTATGACGCCGCGAGATCGAACGGGAGTTTCTGCGACGCGATCCACGCATGCGTCGTTCCCGGATGTCCCTCTCCGCGTGGCATCGGCTCCGGCGGGGAACCCGGAGTAGGTGGCCCGGGATCGGTTTGCTGCGCCTCGCACACTGCGATGATTGCCCGTGACACCGCCGCTGGCTGGAGCACGGCTACCGAGCGCAAGAGCGTGCCCACGCCGCCTTCCTCTCCTTCGCCGCAAAGGCAGAATCAGAGGTTCCCGTATCTCAGTCAGACGGAGGAGGCGCTGGGAATACGGTTCAGGGAGGAGAGGGAGAGGCATGATCAGGAGGCTAGACTTGCGGAGGAGACGAGGGCTTGGCATGCTGTTACTACGGCTGCTGCTGCTGCTGCTTATGGCGGCAACGGTGAGGTTGAGGTTGTGGGAGGCGTGCCGTTGCCGGGGTTTGAGAAGAGGGGGAAGAGGCACAGGGCTAGGAGAAGGGGGAGTTATGATAGTGGGGTTGCGCCGAGTCCGACTGTCAGTGAGGGAACTTCTCCGAGTGACTTTACATTTGTGAGTTGAGGGTTGTGTGGAATAAGATGTGAATAGGGCCTGGATGATCCAGAACAGTAAGGGTGAGTGTGAGGGTGAGGGTGAGAATGAGGGTGTTGGGAGACAACCATAGAGACTCAAGATAGACAGTGCTGGACGGTCACCTGCTTCAATCGGCACATGGAAAACAGTTCTTATCCACAACTCTTTTTCTGAATTTTCTTCAAACTAATATATTGCACTAATACTGTTTTAAACGAGTGGACGGCTTCATAGAGAAAACCAAATGTAAACCAAAGAACGACGCACTCTGACCAGCAACTCTTTCGAGCGATAGTCTTCAAAAGAACGAGAAACAATAGTTTTCAATATCCATACAGGCAGATGACAGAGGCTGTTGAACATAGGCACAAACTCAGCTGTTGGATGGAATCTTGAAACCAACGCGACGAGATAAGGGATCGGCTCGCGCCATCCACTCACGCAGCGTCGCCATCTAAACCCTGAACAAGACACCTCACCATGTCTTCCCAGGTGCCAAAGGGACCGCAGTCGAGCCAAAAGAAGACAACCAGGCACGCAACACGGCATCGCGATCCATCTGAGTCTCTAGAAGCCTAGCAACCTCATCAACTCCGGTACCCCTTTAGCCTCGAAGGATCCACCTAGGCCCACGCGCCGACAAGACTCATGCCAAACGCGCCAAAGAAGACGAGCACGCAAGCCCAAACGCGCTTCGAGCCCCTCAGAACACGCCAGCTCTCATCGGACAGGAAATCCTCAGCCAGAAGCTCAATCAGCGCAGCGAAGACGAGCAACCCGGACGAAATGGCGTTCATGGTGCCGACGAGAATGAGGCCAAACTCCGAGTCCGGGCTGTAGAGGCGGTGGGTCGCGAGACCGATGGCCTGGCCGATGGGCGTGGTGCAGCCGTAGGCGAGGGCCATCATCCAGGGCTGAAGGCTGCCCTGGGGCCAGTCAATGTTTGCGATGCGGGAGCCGAGGGCGAGGCCCTCAAAGGTCTGGTGAAAGGCGATTGCGATGAGGAGGATGACGAATTCGTGGCCGACGGAGACGGAGAGAGTCATGCCGATGAAGACGGAGTGGAAGAGGATACCGACTTCGAGCATCATGCACTGGAGAATGTCCTTTTGGTGCTGCTGTGCCGGGGTCAGGACGATACCGCCGTTGGAGTTGACTTGCACGGCGCGGTTTTCCTCGTCAACGATGACGCGCTTCTCGCCGCGCTGCTGCTGCTGCCCCTGATCGGCCTCATCGCCGCCCTCTGGTTGGTTCGGAGCGAGGACGGCCTCATCGGGGCGGCAGCTCATCTGGCGGGCAGGGGAGAAGACCATCTCGATGATGGTGACGAGGAAGATGCCGGCCAGAGCGATGGCGCCCGGCATGGCGGGGTAGTCCTCGACCCAAAAAGAACTGAGGCATGGGTTACCGAGGAGGGTGAAGGCCGTCGGCAGGAGATGGACGAAGGCGGTGGCCAGAAGGACGCCGGTGCCGAAATGGCGAACGGCGAAGAAGAAGGGACGGGGGATTCGGATGCCGGGGATACTCTTCGCGATGAGCGGGAAGGCGCAAGCGAGGAAGGAGGTTGCGAGGATGATGAAGAGGGCGCCGACGTGGAGGGGCGTGTTGTAGGCTGCTTCGTCGCCGAGGCCGCCGGTAGGGCAGGTTGAGCGGGCGGTAATGCGGACGTGGTCGTGAGTGTGGGCGTGGCGCTTGGTGACGGCTTGGGGTATTGTCAGCTTACATTGTGTTGAGGCATTGGTGGTGAATAAGAAGGGGTGAGATGAGGTATAATTGGATGAGATGAGATGAGATGAGATCTGTATGTTGATACATATGGGCCATGAGTCGACGAGGGCCGTCTTTCAAGAGACTGCGATGAAGAAAGATTAACTTACAATGAGCAGTTTCTTTGGTCGCGACGAGGAAAGACGCGACAGCCTCGGGGCTCTTGAGGGCAGAGATAATGGCTGAGCAGCCAATGACGGACATGATCCAGCTCACCCAGCCCCAGAGGGCGGAGCGGGCGGGCGCAGATGCCCAAAGGAGAGGTGTATGGTCATCACCACCATGCACCTTTTTGTTTCGGGGATGGAAACCTAGGGAGCATTAGTATGCGTGTATGAATGTCGTTTGAGGTGGTGGTTGAATGTCGTTGATGATGCCGGCCGTTGCCGCATGCACACCGAGAGCGGTGAATGAGATGAGAAATGGAAGAGATGGGGACCTTGATGTCGTCGGTCCCAGTCTCCGCATCATCGGAACCACGACACCACCAACACCATCATTGAACAACATTGTTCATGTGAATTCAAGACTCACCGTGTTTCCACCCTCCCGAAACGCGCAGCCTTCGATCGGGCTGCAGACGTGGCAACGTCTGGTAATTCATGTCGTCACCCCGGCCGTCGGATCCATCGCCGGCGCCGCCCCTGGCCCTGCGTTGCTCGCGGGCGTTGGCAATGCCGTTCAGATCCTCGCAGGTGGTGAGGTCGGCGGAGAGGAAGGGCGGATTCTGGTTCCAGTCCGGGTGCTCCAGCGTGATGTCGTCGTTGCGCGAAGGGCAGTTCATCGTGGGCGAGAACGATCTTTGGCTGTGGTTTTTTTTCTATGGGGGACTATAGTCCTTTCGCGGGTTAATTGGAACTTATCGTCGTAACTGTCTACTTGCTGTCGGTCTGGGTTCGGTATGATTTGATTTAGTGTCTTGTTTGATTGGAATCGTAAGAGGATGGAGTTATGAGAATAAGAAGATGGAGTTGGAATCACACGAGTCACCTCAATCTTTCAAGGTTACTGGGGATCAAGGTACCTTAGTACCTTGAGGTCGTCAATTTAGGTACCTTGTGGTAATGTAGGGGGGGCTCGCTGTGGTGTCAAGTACTCCCATACCCAACTACATATGAGCAGTGACATCCAGCCGCTGTTCTCGAGGGAGACCGGGTGCAGCAGGGTTCCAAGCCTCAGGGGGGAAGAGGAACCTTGAAAGACCTGGCTGTCCCTAACTGTGCCGTCTTCGGGATCTAGAAATTTTTAGGGGAGCGGGGCGGGAACTTGCTTCGGCCAAATGCGGAAGCGAGTCACACAGCCAGTCTCAGCCTCAGCATCACCCATTTTCTAATCTCTATGTACTGCGTACACCAAGGTAATTAATGAGAACGAAAGCCGTGTTTGACCGTGTCTGCCGGGGCCGAGGAGAGGCTCCTGGGCGGACGGAGAACTGTGCCGGTGGGACTCTGCACTTCATGCTCGTGGTGTATCCGCACTGCGTAAACCGTAAACCCAATCTTTCATACCGCGAAACTCGGACCCCGATGTTGACTGGAGTCTCTCGGAAGACGGCAACAGGTCAGATACTTCGGACGTTCAACTTGTCCACTGTTCATGCTCGTTCTCGTCTGTTCATCATGACTCTCATCCCCCCCTCTCAGTCATTCACTTAAGGTGACCTGTGGTGGGCTTGGTTGACGGTGATGACCTCGTTGCGTATCACCGCTAGCAACCTCAAGCCCAATCATCAACACCCTCTCTGTAACCTCTTCGCGCCGAGGATAGACAAGCCATCACCACTCCCGGCAATGCATATATCCCCCCCTTTCCCCCAATCTCAAACCGTTCACCCGCATCACTTAGACCCCGCGAAAAGGACGTCACTGCATGTAGAGTACCCGGTTCTTCCCATAGTCGCATTGCCTACCACCCAGTGATGGGCGTTCCCGCTTACCCCATGGGGCTGAGTGCTCCCGCTCTATTCCGAAGCTCAGGCCGCAGGACTAGAGATAGCCGACAATAACAGATAGCGGATAAGTCAGATTCAACTTCCTCTCCTCTGTGGCTGCAGTTGGTGCACTTCGAATGTGCACGACTTCGTGTCTTGACTTTTGACTGCAATCTCTGCTTCACTCACTGTGACGAGGCCAGGTGTCATGCCCTGAAAGGCGCCCAGGCCTCAGACCGCCCGGTGCAAGTTTGGAGACGCGTCAGTTGACTTGGCCCTGGCTTCTTGGCTGCACCTTGGCCACTGGTCACCGTCTGTACGAGGTGGTGTAATTTTCAGCCCTTGGGTCTTGGCCTTTACTTCAGGTCACGCAGCGGTGTCCGGTGCCGGAATCACTTCAAGTGACTCAAACCTCATCCGAGCAGAGGGCAATCGGACCCGGACATGGAGTAGAACTAGCAAGTTGACCCGGGTCAATTGCGCGTCGCCGCGGGTCTTCGGATCCGAGACCCGTCTTGTCATGGGGCCATGTGCTAGCCGGTGACCGAATGCTCGGAGACCGGTGCCGGTTCGACTGGGACCTTGACTGCGATGTCTTTGTCTTGTCACCCTGCTAGGCAACCCATGGATAGCCATACTCCAATGAAATAGGTCGACTTGCAGTCCAAAAATTAATGGGATCAAAGTAGGTATGAGATGGCACTCTCTTGATTGTGCACTTGGACGAAGGTATGCTTACCTAGCGTGCCTAGGCAGATATAACGCACTGAGGATCTCGAAATTAAGAAGCATCGCAGCGAAAACCAGATCTGGGCCGCCGGGTCCTGAGATCGGGTACGTACTGTGAGTACGCCACTCCCTGTGAGGATTAGCTCAGCTTGGAACCGGTGATTACCTAACAGCTCCGAGCTCCACCAAAATCCAGCCAATCAGTGACAGTCCGTTAGTAAGTTTCCTCCGATCACATGAGTGCGAGCCGAAGCGGCATGGACGCCATCACAACCTTTGTGATGACTGAGCCGAGGAGGACCAAGGTCAATGAAAAGTAGTATTTCAGGTTTTCGAGGCTACTTCTTCCCCTAGCAGGAAGTCATCTAGAACAGAGTTTTCATCCTACACTGTGGCTTGAACGACCTTCTGAGGGTGGCCACAAACTGCTGTGATTGTGAAAGACTATTGAGAAGCGGGTTGAGGATTCCAGATTTTGTAGCCTGTCTCTCAAGCAATTCACTCGCAGATTACCTAAGTCTTTAGAACTTAGGTTACACAGCGTGTTCCGTTCATTCACTACTACTTTGAGATGCATGTTATGAAGAATGATAGGTCGGTCGCCAGTCGTCGGTAACATCCTAATAGCATACTTGCCAGATCACATGTAAAGGGGGAGATCTATATTAACTACAATTCTTCTCACTACCTAAACTCAGCCAGAGATTCCTCGTCTAGGGTCTACTCATGAGAAGATTATATCGAGTATTGTAAGAACTAATGACCGCCCTTCACGAGGGCGATGAGCGTTTTGTGAGCTCTACGTTTCCATCAGAAGTAAGCTCTTCGTTCTGATACCACAATATCTGGGAACCATCCTTGGTTTTCCATCAACAGACAGGTCCAATTGAGTTGCTACCAAGTACAGAGTATCCGTGGGCTCATGTCCGCATGGGATGTCTCGACTTTGTCGTTTCACTCACGATCTGCCTCGAGATCAGATGTAAGGGTCAGATGGGATGAGAAGTGATCACTCAACCAATTCCCGTCGTTGGACTTCCCGTCAGATACGACTCAATTACTTGCAACGAAGTATGTGGGCATGGTATTTCTCCACGATTCTCGACATGCTCACAGCGATCGCGTCTTAAGTTTAGTCACCGTGTAGATGACATCGGCGATAGATCTGGCGAGATAGACCCAGGCATCGAGTGACACAGACAGGGTTTTGTAGAGCAAATCGAGACAGCGTGTATGTATTCACAAAACTCCCTCAAATCAACACGATTACATCAGCAGGTCATGAGTGAGTTGAATCACTATGACATGCTGCCCGATGCCTGAGCATGCGCCTCGATGTGGCCTGGTAGGAAGTGTTCAGGCTTCTTGGATCGCGTCATTTTTGGCTTAAGGCTCGCAATCCCTCCAATTTTCAAAAGGTTCTGTTTTAGCCGCCGTAATATTCGTAGAGGCGGTACGAGGCTCACAGTATTGACTTATTGCTGTGGTTGGTGATCGTTGATGTACGCCTGCGATACAGAGCAAATCGAATACGACAGGCGAATGTGCTTTGATGAAGAGCATATCCCGGACGTTCCACGTCTACTTCCGCAGGTTTGGCGCGAGTAGCAGGCTGAAGATCACCGAGACTGGCTCACTTGAACCAGGTGATGCGTAGAGAAATCGTCCAGGCTTTGTGTTAAATCGAGGGTGGGCGGCTGAAGCTCCTATTAGACACTATCGTTCATCGGAGAAATAAACCCTATCGAGATGTTAGACTAAGAATGGCAACATGAGGTCTCTAATATAGGTAATCGACGGCGATTGTGGTCTTATTGTGTCTTGACAGACGCCCTGTTGTCGGGCCATAAGCCAATGCCTGTTAGCTAGGCCGGAGATCGGGCGGGATTTTGACCGGACTCTCGGAGAGCTCCTTCGTGGCGGCCTTATAAGTACCTTCATAGTATTCTCTTCCCAGTGGCCGCGATTGAATGTTGCGTGATTCTTATGGGCCTTCTGCTTGGTTATGTTGAACATGAACCGATGCACTTCCCAGCTGAAGAGGTGCTCTCTCTTTCGGAGCATCAACATCACCGGCGACTTCTTCACGATGACCACTTCAGTCGGCCAACCTACTTCGACTTACATCAAAAACTGAAGAGACTCTGATTGATATGGATACCCTGCCCAACAACAGGATCGTTGGGCAACGAAGGGGAGAACGTGACACCGAACAAGTTACGGTTTCGACAGCAAACATCTCTTCCTTGAAGAGGGGGGCTCACCCCGCAATTTATCCCCCGCCTAGCGTCGATCCCGAGCCCCGACCAAGCGCTCCCCATGTCTTCAAAAGGCCATGTATCCCGCGGGATTCAACTCTCTTCATTCCACCCCCGCAAAATCGTACGGTCGTCTGCTCACCCCGCTCCCATTCCGGTAAGCAAGCCCACCGCCAACGGCCCATTCAGAGTCAAGTTGATTACCCTCCGAGGTAAGGCAGAGAGGAGCGTCAACGGCAAACAAGGGCACAGTCACACACCGCAACACACCTAGGGATACTCGAACAGATGGGCTCACAGTCGGATGACACTCGGACTTTTGCGTAGGACCTCGGCGGGTGAGAGAAGACGCAAGTAAACATAAGGCTCCAGTCCCCTCCTCCGGCGGCTGGGACCGTACATGAAGCCCCGACGCTGCTGTGACGCCTGCCGGCGGCGTCATCGTAAGTGTGTTGTGCAACCCGGCGCGACGGGATGCGGCGCCTGCGTCGAGGCCGATCTCGAGTGTCACTTCGACACGACGTTACGCTTTAAGCATGCGCCGGGCAGCTCCAGAAAGGCGGCTCTCTCCGGGGACAGAGTTCAGAAGGCGGATCACCGAGGTTTGACTTGACCTTCCTTTCTCAGATGATGCTTTACCGCGCCCACCCTTCCCGTCGGGCCCTTCGGGTCTTCTCCTAGCCCCCTCCTCCCCGAGGTGACCTTTTCAGCTTTGGTCTTTTCCACCCCGTCTCGGTTTTGCCCATTTGCCGATCACGCAGTCCCCTCCATGCACGTCAGGAACTTACTCTCTCTGTTCAGCCCGACGCAAGAGCGAAGTAAGTCGTGTAGACGACGCAGCATCCGAGGCATCCTCATCACCGGCCGTCCAGTCCGTCCGTACAGCGGGCGACAGAAGCAACAGCTTTACGTCCAACCCATCCCCGCACGGTTTGACGCCATATGAAGGACAGCTCAACTTCGACTACTCACCGCCGGCAACACACGCATTCCGGGCCGAGGCCCCCGCACAACGATTCACCGGACATGGATCTCACGGCGACGGCAGTGCGCCCATCGGCTTTGTATTGAACAGCGGGCCGCCGCAGGAAAGCCGATCACACCACCGGGATAGCTTCACTTCAAGCCCCGGGTATCTCGACGCCACGCGAGATGGCATCACCTCGGATAGCGGGCAATGGCAGTCGGGGGAGGTGCAGCCTCAGCTCCAGATTTCATATCTCTTGGGGGACTCGCCGTCGACGCAGGCCGGGTCTTCGCATCAGATTGCCTCGGAGCGAGCTGAGAGTCTCATTTCGGATGCAGAATTCCGTATTCAGCCCGTGGACCCTGAGCATTGTGGTTTCACAGGACGCCAAGCCTTCTTATTTCGCACGTATATTTTGAGAATCGCGCCTTCGGTAAGTATTGCCTTACAACATAAGTATTTGTCATTTCGGTGAGGAAACTACAGTGTCTAATGACCCTAGATCGATGCGTGTCACGATGCTCGCCCCTTCACCCTCGACGTCCCCCGCCTCGCCCTCCGCAAGCCGATCTTGCTCAACGGCATCTTCGCCCTAGCTAGTCGTTTCGACACGCAAGGAAACGACGACACGAATGAAAAGTCCGATTTGGAGAGCACGTACTACCACAATCGCTGCATAGAGCTGCTTATCGAAGCATTCTCCCAACCGCCAGAGACGTGGGACTCTATTCTGCTGACGGCTGTCGTGATCATGCGGTTATACGAAGAGTACGACAACGAGACAGACTCCCACTACCACCACCTCCGAGGCACGCGGAACCTGCTCAATCACGACGCCATTGCCCGTTTCGTGACCCAAGGCGGGCTGGCCGAGGCCGCGAGCTGGGTCCACCTACGGCAGGCCCTCTATGTGTTTCTAGTTCGCAGGACGCCAATCGAGATCTGCCTAGAGAATTTTGAGAGGTCTTCGACTTTTAGGAGTAACGACGACACCGCGCATGCGAACCGGATCGTCTATCTGTTTGCGAAGGTGCTGAAACTCTTCTTCCCGGAAGACGGATCGGGATTTCGAACGAGCAGCTCAGAGACTTGGGAGGAGTTGCAAAACGACGTCGACGTGTGGTTCAAAGAGAAGCCACTTTCTTTCCAGCCTCTTTTCTATGAACGGGCGGATGTGGCCAAAGGAAGACCGTTCCCAACGTTGTGGATGGCCGCGGATCCAGGTGAGAATACCTCTGTTCCCTTGAATTTGGGCTGGAGAGTCGCTGACAGCAAGGCGTATGTAGGCACCGTTGCTCTTGGATATTTCTACGCCTCGAAAGCGATATTCTGCTTTCAGGATTATAACAGCTCAAACCCGACAGCGGGGTTTGAAGGAACGAAGAAGAGGATGGACAGTGAGGTGAGTTCCAGTCGGACGAGTTCTCTTGCACTCTGCTAAACAGCACATAGCGTGAAATCACGTTCTATCTATGTATGCTTATGGGCTTGGCCCGGTCCAATGAGGCTGTCAACGCATACTACTTACCCGCCCATATGCTGTCCTTGTGTAAGTCAATCGAGATGATGTACTCGCTAGTTGCGGGATTCTAACACTCCTCTCAGGCGGTCATCTAATAAGACACCCCCTCGAACGAGAACATACAATTAAGTATCTCGCACAGGTAAGGACCATTGTGCAATGGAAGACAGGGGCGTTGGTAAAGACTTTGAAGGAGCAATGGTCACAACTTGATAGTTTTCAATCAAGATGATTCAATTCCACTGGCTATGCGTCATGGTCATTGTCGACACTATCTCTTCTCTTTACATCAATTTGCATCGCAAATGCGTACGGCGGGACGGTCTCGGCGTCACGCGGAACAGCCCTAGTCTGACTAGACGCCATCGTTGAAGCTGTAGTGCTTATCCCAACGCTGATGTTTGTTAGAGACGTCCTTCAAGCAGGGCATAGCAAGGCATAGCAAGTAGGCAGAACATGACTTACAGTATCCCATGGCCGGCGCTTGTCGACAAAGCGCAGGTCCGTTCCAAGTCGGATACGCCCCTCAGGGTCGTAGTTCTTGGTCGAAGCATGGATCTAGGATCGCAGTAAGCAACTTGCGAGCATACCTCATGAAATGAAAGTAGAGCAAACTTACCATGTGTGCTGAATGGAACACAACATCGCCAGCCTCGTACGCGCTCACCAGCCACTTCTTCCCATACCGCCGTCCAAAGTCCGCCGGCCCATCGCACAAAAACCCGGTGCTCATCATGTTTGCATTGAATGCATTCTTTGTCTCTTCTTCGCTCATCCCGGCTGCCTTTGCTTTTGTCGTAAACTCATTCTCAATCTCCTCGCCCAGCTTCTCGCCGTCCTGCATGTAAATCAACCCGCCGCCCTCAAGCCGGACGTCGCCGATCGGCACCCACGCCGTCACGGACGTCGGCTCGCCATAGCGCATGAAGGATTGGTCGTAGTGCACACCGATGGCCTTGTTCCCCGGCGTGTTATTGCGGAGGAGCGTGCGCTTTACGGTGAGGGTGTTCTCATCACCCCAGCCAGTGAACTCGGCGACGAAGTTGCGGAGCACCGGGTGGTTGCAGAAGCCCCGCACTGACCCGTCCTCAGAGCCGGCGTACCAGTCCTCGGTGTGCGCTTTCAAGGCCGCCTCGGTGAAGATCTCAGAGCGGTCCGTCTCGCCTGGCGCCGCATTCTTGACACTGCCGGCGCCGATGCCGGGGTAATCTGCGGCTGACTTTGCGTCGTCGAAGATGCCTTCTCGCGGAGAGGTGCCGGGCTTGATCACGCCTGAGGGGGCGAGGGAGTTGAAGTATGATTCCCGTGCGGAGAGCACGTCTTCGCGTGGGATGAGGCCCTTGATTAGGAGGTAGCCGTGTTGACAGTAGCGTTGGCGGAGGACGTCGAAGTCTTCTGTGAGGTGGGATTGGATGAGGGGTTCGACTTCGTTGGCAGAGAGCAGGTCGTCGTTGACGTGGAGTTGGACACCATTGATGGTGGGAGGGGCACCAGGTGTTGGTGATTCTGCGTGAGGCATTGTGACGATTTTAGAGAGTTTCAAGAGAGGCACTTTATCCACAGGTTGTGGCGTCTATGCTGCGGGCGGATTGAAATATAGAGTATTCGTGATGAAGATACAGCACTTTGAGAAAGTAACAAGACATGAGAATCAAATTCACAGGACCGCAATCGTTGCTCAAGAGTTTTGAATCCCCTTATATACCCATCGTCATCCACATCTCAAGGTCCCTGATTGGAGACGTTTGTCGCCCAAGAGTGGCGTCCTCACATGTCCACGAGCATCTCGTGAAAGGGAATATAACCCGCGGAAAACCCATAGGGCAACTAGCCGGCGGAAAATTACCGAATCAGGCTTAACTGGCGGGAACGCTTACCATCCCTCATCCCCATCGTTCCCATATTTCCCCGCATTTCGTGCATTTTCCAAGCAAATCCGGCTCCGCGCTTGACGATGTCATTGCTCCACCTTGCCTGTTACGGACGGCCGGAACGCGGGCAACACTAGATTAGCGACCAAGATGGCATTGGACGGGCTGCGTTTCGTAGTTTTTGTGGTAGACCTGGCAAGGTGGAGGGCCAAGAGGGTGTTCGAGATGGATAGCTGTCTCCAATGGTTCGGTCTAAGTGGGATTCCCGGGATTTGAAGCGTGGGGGACCTCTGTTGAAATAGGCAAGATTTCGCCGGTGGGATGCAGAGTTTCATGACGTGCCCGAGGTCGACGGTCTCGGAATGTTGTCCTTCCAACCAGCCATTCCGAGTAGTTTATTAATCATATTGTCAGGCCCTGAGATGCGGTATTTGATCCGGTTGGCCAGGTCATTCAGCACATTTCCAACAATATCCCGGGCTTTTCCAAAAATAAAACTAATGTCAGAGGCTCCATAAGGTGTCTGGACATGCACGCCACTCTCAACGCAAATGTATCAGAATTGGTGATTATATTGTAGTATCAATCTAGTCAGCTACTCTCATTTGCGTATTTCATAGGAAGAACTTGTTAGGTTCCACGATATCCGAATACGAAAGCTCACTTCAACTAGTTGGTGCCACCGCAGCCCTGCTGATCAGTCAAAGCGCCGTAGAAGCTCTCCTTATACGCAGCATCAAGATATGTCTGGAAGTTGGCGTCAATGAACGGCACCTTTGTCTTCTCGTACTCAACAAGAGACAGCGAGCGCTCGGCTGCGTCGGGAAGGGCATCCCAAGCCACGAGAGTGCGCTCAAAGACCTTGTCACCATCGGCGCCCGTGAACGGCGACATGGCATTATCGTGAATCTGCATCTTCGGGTGCGTCGATTGCAAGTAGGAGATGTCACCAGTCTCCGCGGTATCCCATACCGTGTGGTCCTTGGTGAACGACACGCCGACGGGGAAGACGGCCGATACGTCCGAGTCGCCCTCGCAGCCCCAACGGTTGACCCAGACGACGATGCTGGCCCAGTAGTGAGTGTGGCCGTTGTCGTTGCCCTTGGCCCAGCGGACCTTGGGGAAGTAGTAGGAGTACATGACGGCGGTACGGCCTTGACTGCTTCCGCGGCGGACGTAGACCTGTCCGGTTCCTCCGTTGCCGCATCCGCTTCGTCCGCCGCCGGTAGGTCTCAAACCAGCTCTGTGAACGACAATTAGCTCATTCTATTTGAAACATTGTTTTAAGAGGTTCATTAGCTTACCCGAGGCTTCCAAAAGCGTCAACGGCCGGATAGGGATCACAACCTCCAGAAACGAACAGCTCGGGGTTGAATCGGAGTTGGAGTTGGCCCTCTAGTCCTAGAGAAGTTGCCTCATTTAAGGCGGCGACCTTGTCATGGTCAATCCAGTTGAGAGCAGTGCTGGTCGGGGCAGCCGATGAAGTAGAAGTGGCGATGGTAGTGCTCCACACAGATGAGGTGGTCACAAGAGAGGAGGCAGGCTCCGATGAGGTCCAGGAGAAGGGGGCGCTCGTTGAGGAAGGAAACTCTGATGGGGGAGCCGAGGAAGTCCAAGGGTTGTAGGTCTCGGATGCAGTCTCCGGATCATAAGACTGAGAGGGAGTTGGGACCTGCGTGGGCGTCGCAGGCTTCTCGGTTGGTTTCTCAGTGGGCTTCTGCTGGGTGGGCTTGACCTCCGGGACGGACTCGGGCAGATCAGGCTTGTCGTCGACGGGATCCAGTTCAAACTCGGGCATCGACCCAGCGGCTCCAGAGCCGGCCGCTGCCGACAACACAGCTGTCTGTCCCGCCGCGATGGGGAGAAGCGCACCAGAGGGCGCCATGACAAAGCCGCCCAGAATTCCTCCGATAATAACTGCGCCGACGGCTGCGGCAACCGTCTCTCCGTTACTCACATGGATCGGAGCCGGCGTAGACGATGGCTTCAGAGCACTGCTATGCCAGGTTGAGGAAGGAAGTTGACTGGGCTTGCGGGTAGAAGAAGGAAGCGGGCTCCATGTTGGTTTCCGGGAAGAGGAAGGGGCAAAGCTACTCCAGTGAGAGGAAGTGGTGATGCGGATCGACCTGGAGAACGTCGATGGGACGTGAGATGACGTCTGGTTTCGGGGAGGCACGACACTCGGGGCTGGCTTCGGGCCCGGGGCCGGCTTCACGCTTGGGAGGGGCTTAATTCCAGGGTTGACGGCCCTCTCAGCCAAGACATCGCCGTCATCCTGCGACTCGGGGTTGTAAGGGCTGTCGGGAGAGGTGACCTGACCAGTGATGGTCGTGGAAAGCAGAAGCAAAGTCAATGCGTGTCGGATCATTGTGGACAGTTAAGGAGTGACTGGAGGACTGAAAAGGAGTGCAGTGCCCTCTGAAGCATATTTAGTCAAAGAGAAGGCACTCTTCGCGAGAATGATTCTTTATATCTAGGACGGTCATTTCTGTCGATGACGGAGTTTCCGTCATCTTGATAGCATTACTTGCAATAAAATTGGCTTTCAGCGCCGGTCTTGTTGAAAATTAGCATTTCGTAAGGATGGAGGCACATTCAACTCAAATACAGTGGGGGATGGAAATGTTGTAGAATCTCTCGGTAAAATATGATTGAACGATTCAGTTTGCTCTACTTACTCAACGCCATGAACATAGTGCCTTGGCAGGAACTCTACATTCCCTAGAAGCCGATGATGTGATATAAGCTATCCGACAAGGAACAAATGTGAGAGGCGGCGTTACCGACTTGCCATAGACACATATGTTTGATAATGATTTGCATCGCCCGAGTAAAGGTGTATGTAGCGACATTAACGTCTGAAAACTCGCCGATCATTCATTCAGTGCAACTCAACTCAAAGGCTTGTACGGATACTATCTGTCACAGTATATTACTAGGCTTGGGAAACTCGAAACAAACGACTAACACCATCCGGAGCCTTTTTCAATTGCGAGCGATTACAGCGGTGAACGAAGACATCACCCATAGAAGCACAGGCCGCTGAATATCGGTGAGTCCGGCT